GACTAGTTCTACAGTTCATGAGAAGACTTTTGTTTTTTTCCATTTTTATTCACTTGCTTACTTATTGGAGAAAGGGGGAATGCAGGAAAAGGTTTTTGCTCTGAGCCTCAAGGTCTACTAGATTGCACCTTTGTAAAGTTCTTCCCTTCCCGGTGTTATCTTCTGGGAAGTTCTGCTGATATACCTCCTCACAAAGTCACTTACTTCACACATCACATCTAAGAAGGGATAATGGGACTAGAACTGTTACCACCCTTGTTGGATGATCAATCACTTATTTTGTGATCAGTGAACATCAAAAGAACAGGCTGGTCTAGAAACTGGTTTAACTACATCCAACAGGGGTTATTCTTTCTTTTCCCATTTACACTAGCTAGGAAAATTTTGCATTCTCTCCCAAACAGAACCACTCTCACCTTCCCTCCTAGGTTCACTAATCTGGATTGGCTGAAACTGATTTCGTATGTGTTGGCAGCCAATTCCAGAAATGAAGACTGAGTCTCACAAACCCTGAGAATAACTTAATGCCCTTCTCTTACATGGACAGAAGGGGGCCACTGCCCCAAGTGTGTTGTCTTAAAGCAAACTTAAAGACAGCTATGGACACAAGAGGGAGGAATAGCTCCAGTTCACAATGGGGAGAAGAGAGGATGAAAGAGGAAGGAGATTCTAGAGCAAAAAGTGTTCTACAGAAACTTCTTATAAATGTTCCTGCAGGGAGAAGCTGTGCTGAAGCCAAAAAGATCATACCATCAAAATATCTGAGAACTACTAACAATTCATCCTGGTCAACTAGAGTTACAGTGGAAATTAGCATATTAAAGCTTCTCAAAATCCCACAGAGAAGAAAAACATTTCACAAACATAACTACAGGACCAGCATAACTAGTAATTCACTTGCTTTTTGAATAGAACTATTCAAAATAGTAGTACTAGCCCTATGTGGCTACTTATGAGCATCTGAATTGTGGCTAATTTAAATTTAAATGAGCTATGAATATAAAATACATACTGGATTTCAAAGGGTTAGTACAAAAAAAAGTAAAAATATCTCAATTTTTGTATTGATTATATGTTGAAATAATGAATATATATGGGTTAAATATAGTTATTAAAATCAATTTCATCTGTGTACTTTTTTAAAAGGTTAAATCTAAATTACATATATGGCTACCATTATATTTCTATTGGCTAGTGCTCATTTAGAAAATGCTAAGCTACAACACAGGTTTAGAAAACTTTGGATATTTCTTTTCTTTTTTTCCCACCCCAAGAGATTTATTGTCAGTAGTATGGAGCAAAACGACAAGGCTTTCCCTCTGAGGAGAGCAGCCTGGATATTTCTTATTATCTTGATTTCTTTGCCATATTTGTTTTTCATCTGAAAGAGATGTACTATAGCACAGAACTTAGGAAGTGTTTAAGACATGAAGAAAGCATCTGGACACATGACCAGGATTTATTGCAATACATAATTCCAAAGATATCAAGGAATGAGGGATGTGTTTCTTACAAAAGATGAACACTTTTCCCTTTTGTCAGTAACTCCCAAGATATTTATTTAACAACAGAAAACTATTTTACTTTGCCTTTCACTCCACAGCTGTTAAGGTCTGTAAACAAGTCTGGATGGCGCCTGGCATTTTGCCAGAAGAAGTGGTTTGTGAGGTGGCACCAGCGAGCCATTAAGTGTGGAGATTTCTTATTGGTTGACTGCTGTATCTAGTTTATGTTAATTAAGATAAGCTGTGTGGAATGTATAAATACCTCTGTTGTCCTACAATAAACGGCTCCCACTCCTGCTGTATCAATCTACACAAGTTGAACGTCACCCCCCGGCTATTTTGCCCAGCCAGCCGGACTGCGGCACACAGCTCAATCTGTAAAGCTATTCCTAAACATCATATTGAAGAATGAATAAATTTAGTGTTTCGGTTACTGAAATCACTATGTGCGCTCAGTATAGGTGAAGAAATAAGTCCTTTCAAGGCTTGATGACAAAGGTACTTACTGTTCAAGGCCCACTCTGTTATGTATTTATTGTTCAGTAGTAGATTCCAGTATTTTTCACTATGTAACTTAGAGCAAACCACTTCACCCCTATTACCTAAGGACTGGCAATAGGAACATGAATGCCTACAGTGTTTTGAGAAACATGTGGCTCAGGCTGCATAATTAAGACACTATTTACTCGACTTTCAACTCATAAGATAGTAGGTAAAATACTACCAGAGAACTAGCTGTGCGACTGAACAAATAACCCTCTACAGTTCTACTTCCTTAGTTGTACAATAGAAATAACATCTATCTTATGAGAAGGAATCTGATGAAAACAAAAGGAAAGCTAAATGCCCAGTGTGTTACTTAGCACTGAGAAAACACAAACTCCTCTCCAGACTCTGCTCTTTGGTCTCAGTCTCCACTACCCTAAAGTTAATAGCTGCACCAAAACTGACAGGCTATATATTGTAAGTTGTTATAGCAAGAAAGATTTTTTTTAATATATATTTTTAATTTTAGGTGAACATAAAACCTTTATTTTAGTTTTTGTGTGGTGCCGAGGATCAAACCTAGTGCCTCATGCGTGCTAGGCGAGCGCTCTACCACTGAGTCACAACCCCAGCCCATAAGCAAGAAAGATTTCTAAAAGCTCAGAAAAATCTGTCAGACAATTACAGGAAGTGGGCTTTGCAAAACCCTCCTGGATATTCCTCAGAGTAGAGGTTCACTCTTAACAGGTTTCCATTGTAAAGTGGCTATTGTGTCCCATTTCCTGGCACCTAAAAGACAGCAAGCTGGGGATGCCCACATACAAGGGCCAGTGATGGGTTTTTCAGGGTACCCAAGAATCCCCCATTTCCAGCAGTTACTATCCTCCATAGGAATGGCTCCACTGCACTGTGGTTTACCCTTCGAATATTTTTTTTTTAATATGTTGCTGAGAATTGAACTCAGGGCCTCGCACGTACTAGGCAAGCACTCTATAGGTGAGCCACAACCCCAGCCCTTAACCTTTGAATATTGAGGCTCCATTCCTGTGCCTTGCCCACCCAAGGCCCTCAAATAAAATTTTCATTTGACATAAAAAAAGATAGATGCTTCTCCTCCTTTAGATTGGCATCCCAATTTATTAGAAATATATTTTCTTCCACCTCAGACCTGGGATCTCTGCTTTCTCCATTCTGTGGAATTTCTCTATATCCAATGACTGTCAGCCTCACAGAGTAAGCTAAGAGGATCAATTTTGAAAGTTCTGGAATTATATATTATTTATTCTTAACTTTTTCTTTCAGAGTAGATGATTCTATTTTAATACCCTAAAGTTGCATAAGTAATGCAGGAGATATATATGCTTGGACTAAATAAGTATACAATAAACAAGAGAGATATCTGGAAGAATAAATGTTTTAGATGGATTTCAAATGTATCATAGGCAACAAGAAATTTAGGCATTGGATATTTCAGCCTTGGCTTTTCAGAAAATGTCAATATTTCTCAGTATCTATATTGTTGTTCTGGATTGTTTTGTTATAGGGGTCTCACTACATTCCCCAAGCTGGTCTAGAACTCCTGAGCTTCAGTGATCGTCAGGCCTCAGCCCCTCAAGTGGTAGAATTATAGCTGCACACCACCTGCCAGGCTTCTAAGTGTCTATATAAATCCACATCCATTACCAAGTCATCTACCTCTGTACTACAGGGCCTAATGGGGTTAAAAAAGGTCAGAGATCTGAATCATCCAGACTCCCAATCTATGTGCAAAAGTATATGCAGGAGATAATGAACCCACTTTGGAGGACAGCTGGACAGACTTCCCATATAAAAGCACCAGTTTTTTCTCTGTATCCCTAATGTGTCCCCTCTGTGCCCCTCATGGCCCAGATTCAATCACATTACATTTGTTCACATATTTCCCCCATCTAACTGGGTTCTTTGAAACCCAAGGACCAAGCACATTAACTAATACTCAGTAACATTTGTAGAAGTAGGAACATCTACTGGCCTGGAGCTAACTGTCTGAAATTATGAAAAGCCACAAGGTCCATCTTCCTGGAGATCAAGCTTAAAACGTTTTCTCACTAAAACTGTAAGATGAAGCAAATCCACATGGAGTTTAAAATATAGTCTTTTAATAGTGGCAGGCTGGCAGCTTCCAAATTCAGGACTGTGTCCCTGAATGCCAAGTATAAAAGTGCCTTATTCTTTGTGGTAGAGGGACCCTGCCAAAGCTAAGATATCCAGGAATCTGGATTCTCCAAGTGCCTTAACTTTTAAGAAGCTGACAGCACTTTATCCAGGGGTCAAAGACCACTAATGCCACTTGTAGATGGGGGTGGGGCCCGCGGGTGAACTGGCTAATATTGCCCAAACTGCTCAGAAAATTAATGCTGAGTATAGGAAGAGAGCTCTCATCAAAAGCTAGCCCAGAACATTACATAACCATAACTAAACTTTTTTGAAAGGTGTTAAACTTAAAAGCCTACCTATGCTTCCTTGGGCCCTGGGACCCTTTGATCACTTCCTGGAACGGAGGCCATCACTAAAAACACCTCTTTTAAGGCCTCTCTCCACAGCAGTACGCCCTTAGGGGCACTGCATAAACGGGAATCAGAAGCACCTCTCCTGGGCGCTATCCATGGGCACTTCCAGCGCACACCTGCAGCCTCCAGGAGGTCAGAACTCCGGATGGAGGTGCGGTTGTGCAACCACCACCTCAAACTCCCTCCAGAGAGGGCTCCCGCACTACAGCGAAAGGCTTCCAACAGCCCAGAACTTTCTGAACTTTTCTCCACCCCCAACTTCAAGGCTCTTGGCCAACTCCGTCCAAGAGCAGGGCGAGTGGCAGGGCAAACATCCTGAGAGGGGAGCTGGACTGCAGGACCGGCTCTCCAACTACAAGTGCCTCCGGGGCCACTGAAGGACCGGGACTCTGGAGGGCCGAAGGACAGGGCACACAGAGACACGTACTCCCCGCCCGGGGACAAGGTCCACCACACTCACCTTGGCCGACGTCTCCCCGAACAGAGGTCTGTTGTCCAGGCCACTGGTGCCGTAGGTCCTAGTAGGAAAGTCCTCCATTTTGGGGCTTCTTCACTCGTCCCGAGCCTCTCAAAAGCCAGCCCGCATGACTCGGTCCACGACTCCAAACGCCTTCTCCTCAGGGCGCACGCATGGCGGCAAGCCCTGGCGTCCGGGAAGTCCCCGAGGAGGCGGCGGGTAGCGCTCACTCCCGGGGGACGCGGCCGCGCCGCCCGAGCGCCGCTGTCCTCCTCATCCTGAGCAGCTGCCGCAGGAAGTGGGAGGAAACAAACACCGCTTGGCCGACTCTCCGCGGGACGCCCCGCCCGGGCAGCTCCCACTTCCCCAAATCTCGGCTCTCTGCCCCGGCGCCGCTCGCCGCCGGTTGCGGGCGGCAGGCGAGCCCGGCTCCCCGTCCCACCCAGCCCCGCGTCTCTACAGTTCCCGGGTTTTCCAGATGGTCTAGTCAGCGCGTATACCTTCGTGCTCACGGGGGTAGTTCTCATGGGAGAGAGCGCTAGGAGCCCCTCTGCGAGCCCGCTGCGCCCCTCAGTCCCCGAGAGGCGAGAGGGGAAGTTATTGAGCACAGCCGAGGGCTCCGCACACCCCTCCCGCAGCGCGAGGACTCGGGACGCGGCCGCGCCAAGCGACTGGGATCCCCTCGCCTGTGCGGCCGCTACCCGGGGCCGGCCGCGCGCGCCGCAGGAGCACCCGCCTGACCCCGCACACCGTAGCTGCCCTCCCGCGCCCGCAGGCCAAACCTCGGCGTCCCGGGCCGCCCCCGGGACCGCAAGTCCCCGGTCCACGCCCCCGTCGGGATCCCGCGCCGCAGCTAGCAAGGAGGCGGACTGGCCGCGTGGGGGAGGAAGAGCCTTTCAGCGCGGCGCCGAGCGGACGCGCCGGCCCAGCGCAGCGCTGCGGGTCCGCTCTCAGCTTTCCCGGCTCGGACCCGCGGCCACTGTCGCAAACAGGCCCGGCCCGCCCCGTCCACGTCACCACCGAGGCGGCCAATCCCGCAGGCAGTGGCGCCGCACTGGCTGCGGAGCTTTATTTCTAGAGGTGCCAGTTTATCCTCCGGGGCGGCCAGTCTCCACGGCTACACATTTCTCAGCCTCTTAGTAATTAGCGTCAGCGCGATCCACTTGGGTGAAGCACGTTTCCGAAGATAGCCTGCATTTGGCCGCAAGCATCTTAAAAACAATCGGCCTGCTTTAACCACTCCAGACCGCGCAACTAATACAGTCATTGGCAGTTTGTGTTGCTTGTATTTTTGTCTTGCGTTATTCTGTGGAAAGGACTCTAGATTATTTACAGAAACAGTCGGGAGGTATTAGTGCTTTGACTGTCTGCTCATTCTGCCAGGGATGGTGGCTGACTGAGCATGTTTACTGCCACAGAGCCAGAGCTCCACGTTGTCAATATCTCCTTCGGTTCTTAGGCCATAGAGAATTGATCAGGCCCTTAAAAGTAACATAGCTTCACTATACATTTGGAGTCATTTATAAATATTCAGAAACACAGCCATGCTAAATTCTCTGGACACTATACAATGCCTAGATTGAAAAGAGTTCTACAAATGTTTGTGTTTAGGGATTGTCTGAGTTGGAACATTGTAGCCACACACCACTTAGAATCAAAAGCCATGATTCCAATTTAGGACCAGGATGGACCAAGAACCACATAAAATTTGCAACCCTGAGTAGAATTGGGGATGAAGAATATCTGATCTATCAGTTACATATTTTACAAATGATTTGTTTGTTCAGTGCTTTTTGTCAAAAGAGCAATGCTACACAATCCTGCACTCCGTTCTATTAAAAGGTCGATTGGTTTTACCACTAATAACTTACATTTAGCCACAGTTAATAAAATACTTTTGAGAATCTGTTATATACCAGAAAAGTATCAGTTAGAATAATAAAGTGATCAAGATGGGTTTGAGCAATAATCCTGAAAGACACAATCTTGAATGCGGTAATCCCAAATGTTGAAATACAGAAAGCTCAAAATCCCTAAAGTCTAAAATCCTGAAAGATCAAAAACCTGAAAATATAATTCTGGAAAAAATAATTTTAAAAGTGATTTAAAATTTACATTTAGAAAAATTATTGGAGTAACAAAAAGAATAGAACACTTCATAGGCAAATTTACACAATAAAATAGGCAATGATAGTACACAGAATTTTTCAATTATATGCACTCTGGCTATCCTAACAATAAGCATATACTAATGACAGCTCCATGGGTAGAGTTATAAGCAGACATATTCATAAAGAAATAGGTCAAAAAGCAAAATGTATAAGTATATATCGCTATTGTTAACAATTGTGTGCACCCAGCTTTATAACTGGTCATCTGAAATACCTCGTAAGATAACCTACATCTTTTATTTATTTTTAATTAATTTTTATTTATATATGACAGTGGAATGCATCACAGTTCATATTACACATATACAGCACATTTTTTTCATATTTCTGAACAACCTATTTTAATGGGATCAATCAATCATGTATGCAATTATTCAAAGACCCGAGATTTCAAGAATTTTATCTTTCACAAAAATGCAGATGTTCAAAAAGAAATATCTTCATTTATTCAGGAAGTTTCAATATTGTAACAGTGCATTTGTTACTAAAAAATGCATAATATCTATAAAATTCTTTATACTCTTTATACCTCCAACATTGACAATGATGTGAAAATGAAATACAGAACATAGCGAATTACAAAAGCAAATAATGCTGACCATTTTTTAAGTGGGTAAAGTTTTAAGCCAAAAAGAGAATTCAAATTATGAGAAAGCATATTACAGGGGAAAACTATGGGCAATTGCATGGACATGGTCCCTAAGAACTGGCCAACTTTCACAATCATTAACTATGTTTTGAAGTCTCGCCCCTCAGTGAATAGCTGGTTGTTGGTTTTTGCTTCGTCTTGTTTTGTTTCCTTATGGCATGGCTGTTCTCAAAGAATGCATTCACATTCATTTCCTATGTGATGCTGCTCTTTTTGAAATTCTTCTGTGATTTGACATACACCAACTTGAGCATTTCCTATAAAAATTATCTCTTCTGTGTCATCCCTGTCTGTTGTTTGAGATATGGGGAAATCTGTCTACATGCAGTCACATACAGGCCTCAACCTTGGTGGAAATAATTTTGGTGATTGAATAGCAATAAATACTACTGTATAAGTGTCTTCTTCTACTGTGTACTTAATAATTTTCAAACCACTCAGTAATTTCTCCTGCCACTTCAATTCATTAAAAGCTCCTACAATTTCATCACCTGAAAGGAATTATTTACAGAAACAGTCGGGAGGTGTTAGTGCTAGGTATTTCTTTGACTGCTCATTCTGTCAGGGATGGTGGCTGACTGAGCAACGCAGAAAAATAACTAATTTTTTTTAAACTGAAATTTTCATCATTGCCATACACATGCCCTATCTATTCCCCAGAATTCAGTTTTCTAGAACTCTTACATAGCCCTTTGGGGGAGAATTGCAATTTTCAGGATTTCAGGTCTCAGAATTTCAACATTTGGGATTTTAATTCTTTGAGATTGTGGTTTGGGAGATTATAAACTTTTGGGATTTTGATCATTTGGGATGATCATGTTTGGGATGGTTTCTTTTGGGATTATGATCAGCCGTGGGTCAAAACTCAGGCATAGTCTTAGTCTTGAAACCGGAGTGGAAAATAGAGACATAATTACAATTCAGAGAAAGAAGGTGTGGCACCTAAGAACACAAGCTTTGAACTTGATCATATCGGTCCTCTAACCCTGATGCCACCATCTACAAGCTATGGGATCCTAGGCAAGTTATCTAACCTCTTCTGGGATCCTTTATATGTAAAAAGTAAAAATTACAATAATAAATAGCACTATAAATATCTAATATCAACTCTTTTTTAAAGAAAATATTTAATAGTGGATATACAAAATACCTACAAGTAGCAAATATCCAAGTGGTGGTTATCAAAGATGATGACAAGTGCTATAAACTGGACACTAGTTAACTAGCTTCAGGAGGCAGGGAAAGCTTATTTGGGGAAAACTAAATTAAGATCCACAAAAAAGAGGATGAGTTAGCCAAGACGAGGAAGAGAGGTAAGAAACCAGGCCGCAGAGGCCAGAGCCTCATGCTAGGTGTATTTGAGTGGGAAGGCTGAGTCAGAGGTAATGGTCCTACTCTTGAGCTGCTTATGTTGTATGTCATCAGTTTTCTATGTCTCTGCTTCATTTTTCCCTTTAAAATGCAGCTTCTTCATGATTACTACTCCTCCCAAACTTCTACTTATGGTTTTAGCTTGTTTTGGTACTAAGCTTGGATAAAATGGACCTTACAGCTCCAGTGCCTGCTACTGCTTGACAGCCTCTGTTTCTGTTTTTCTATTCAGATTACCATTCCCTTGAGGACTTTTATTTATTTATTTATCATCTGTACTGGGGATTGAACCCAGGGCCTTAAGCATGGTAAGCAAGTGCTCTACACTGTACATCCCCAGCCCTTCCCTGTGGGCAGCAGTGACCTGAACCATCAGCTCTGATTGCCTCGTGGCTGCTGGGAACTTCCTGTGCAAAGTTGTAGGTCAAAATGGCCCGGTTGCTATGGTAATACAGGCCCACGTGCAAAGGCATGTATCAGTCCAGACCTTGAGCTCAGGCACCAGCTCCTAGGGATAGAGAATTCTGAACATAGCAAGATAACCCGAATGTTTCGCCAGTCCTGAGTCCTTCAGACTACCTTCTTTGCTGAAACTGTCCCACAAATAATCTTTTGATGAAACCTTATACATATGCAGAGCCAGCTCTGGGTCACTGCTTCTCCATCAGAGGTCAGTGCCCACCTGGCCCCAGCTCTTTTTCTATGTGTGTCTGTCTTTTCTTCATCCCCCATAGCCCCTCGTTGTCTTTTCCCGAATTAACGGCCAGCCATGGCTGAGAGATGAGGCCACAGCATGAGGAATTTTGATTGGCTCTGTCCAGACTGTGGATTGATTTCCAGTTGCATTAGACCCTCCATTCAGCCAGTCAATAGGAAGGGCCAGGTGGAACTAGTATGTTCCGAGTCCACCCTGGGTGTCATGGAGGATTGTTCAAAAGAGGAGAGTATGCATGGAAGTCAATGACAGGATTATCAAGTGCCTTGACACTCAAAGAGTAGCTCTCCTGACCAGCAGCATTGCCCCATCTGGTAACTTGTTAGAAATGCAAAATTTCAAGCCTCAACTCAGCTCTACTAAATCATAATCTACACTTGTTAAGTCCACACAAAGGATTCAGATATTAAAGTTTGAAAAGTGCTCATTTCATATACATCTACTTTTAAAAATGGAGTAGTGCCATATAGTTAGTTGATCCTCTTGATGCCATGGCTTCTCAATTCTTGATCTTCATTCTTATTCAACCACTTATTCCTAGTGTACATTCTGAACTTTGTCAATACCCAGAATTTCACGTTGTCTGAAATAAGTACAGACTGACAATTTGGTAAGCCTCACCCACTAGTCCTTCCCATTCTCTCACTCATGGGCAATATATCAATCCTTTGGTCACTGTAGTATCTCTGATCTTTTGGTCTCTTGACTTTAACCTGGTGGATATTCTTCCTATTTTCACTTTCTTCTAATTTAGATTCTGTATTCTACTACTGAAGTTACTCTTTTAGTAATATCTTCAGTTCCCTTGCACTATTTATTTTATTATACTCATGCAGAAATTTCCCTGAGATATTTATTAGTCTGCCTGTTTCCTCAGCTTTTGTGACCCAATTCTAATGCAGCTAGATGGCAGGGGAGGGGAATTATAAATGCCCCTGATTGGAATGATCTTAAACTGAGGACAGCCATCATCAACTGTGTTCTTGAAACCATCTGGAAATCCTGTGTTGCCTGGGAAACTCTCTCATATGGTGTCTATTTTCTTCAGACTCTGGCTTCTTTC